TTTATTTTCTTCGTATGCAATAAACAGTAAAAACAAAATTTAATCAATGCTCGCCTTCTTTCTTATATGCTAAGGTAATTTTATCCAATATTCATAAAAAGAAAACACAACAGAGAGAAAAAATGAAACACGATGTTAAAATAATGAAAATAGATATCCAAGCTTTGCCATTAAACAAAAAGTAGATATTCAAATCAAAGGTAAAGATGTTACCGTCTCGTTACATCTGTTACTAAACGTCTTTTGTCCTTCTTATTATCATTCTTATACAACATGAATAATAATGGTGAAAATGATGATAAAAATAATGTTAATAATAAAACGATGATAATAATAATAATAGTAACCATGATAATAATAATCATAATACTAGTAATAGTGATAATAATGATAATAATAGTAACAATAATAATAATAGTAATGATACTAGTTATAATGATAATGAAAAAACAAATAAAAAATAATAATGATAATAACAGAAATAATAATGATAATTATACTACAACAACTACTGCTAACAATAAGAACGATAACAGCAATGATAAAAATAATGATAATAATAATGGAAAAAACAATGATGATAATGATGATGAAAATAATAAGGATAAAAACAATAATAACAATAATAATGATACTGATTTAGTGATAATGATGATAATAAAAATGATTAAAATTAAGATAGGAACAGCAATAATAATAACATTAGTAATAATGATGATAACAATGATGATAATGATAATAACAATATAATATTAACAATGATAAAGACAATACTAATAACAATGATGATGATGATGACAATGATAATGATAGTAATAATAATAATAATAATAATAATAATAATAATAATAATAATAATGATAATAATGATAATAATAATAATAATAATAATAATAATAATAATAATAACGATAATAATAATGATCATAATAATACTAATAATAACAATAATAACAATAACAATGGTGATAATAGCGATAATGATAATAATTATAAGAATTATCATAAAAATAATGATAATATAACAAAAATATGAACTGAAAATAATAATGATGATAATAATGATAATGATAATAAAATGATCATGACAATAATAAAGATAATTGTAACGATAATAACAAAAACAATAATGATGAAGCATAAGGTATATATGATAAAAGTGATATTAAAATGATAGCAATGATGATAATGATAATAATAACAATAATTACAATAATAATAACAATGATACTACTACTACTACTACTAACAAAAATAAGAATGATAATGATAATAATTATAATCAAAACAGTGATAAGAACAAAAACAATAATGATGGTGATGACGATGTTAATAACAATAATGATAATAATAAAAATAATAGTAACAATGAAAGACAACAAGCATAATAACGATAAAGATGTACAATAAGTATAACAAAAAATAGTAGTAACATTAATGATAATTTCAATAATAATGATAATAACAATAGCGATAATAATAATGATAATGATAATAATGGTAATGAATAAGATAATAACAAGGCCAAAAAAAAGAGCCTTGAGATGAGTCGGTAGGTAAGGCTTTTTTTATTTTAGATTCTTTTTAAATTTTATTTTGAGAGGTGATGTAATGAACCTTTTCGTAGACACCACCTCACTCTAAACCCTGCCTCCTAAACCTATATATCACACAGGAAAAATAAACCCGGTTTCAATTCAAAATATAAATATTATTTTTCAAAGCCTCAGTCAGAGAGCTACCATTTTGACATCAAGATGACGCACGCTCATCGTGTGCAGTATCGCCATACTCCTGCTCGTGCCAATAGACGTGATGCAGTCCCGAGGTTTGCTCAGCGTGCTTTGGTAGTCACAAATCAAGCCGTTGTGGCGCTGCGGATTGTGATTTTGGCGGCCTTTTTGAAGGGTTTCAGATTTGTGGTAGACGAGAATTTAGGGATAAAAAAAATTTGAGTCGGCAATTTTTTTCGGCAAAGAAAAGAAAAAAAAAAAAAAAAAAAAACATTTAGTCGGTTACTAGAACTATTTTTATGCCCAATAACAATAATGATAACAACAAGAATTATCATAATATTGCTAATAATGATAATAATAATGACATAGGCATAGCAAGGTATTTGGATGGGGGAAGGGTAAAGTTCCCCCTAAAATGGCCAGGGGCTTGTGGGTTGCAGGCCCCTGGCGGAGAATAGGGGATGAAGTGCCGGGAAGCTCCTGGATTTTAGTAGTTTTAAAGACATAAACTCATTAATTTCTGCTTCAAAATCTTACTTTTATTAAGATAATACTTAACATAATGGTTATTTCATTTTGAACACCATACTCAGTTGTAGCTGCCCTCGTAGTTGCAAGGGGTCAGTGTTCTTAACAATTGGGTAACTAAGGAACTCCACTGTTTGTTTGATTACAGAGAATGTCTTCGAAAGTTGAGGAGTGTGTGGCCTGAAGTTGTTTCCGCCCCCTCCATTCCTGGGTAAGGGGTGGTCACCCCCCCTGCCCCCCCCTTTTCCTACACGTATGCTAATACTAATACTAATGATGATGATGATAATGATAATAATAATAATAATAATAATAATAATAATAATGATATTATCATTATCATCAGTATTTTGCTAATATGTTGATATCATTATGTGTATTATTATCAATATCTATCTGTGTGTGTGTGTGTGTGTGTGTGTGTGTGTGTGTGTGTGTGTGTGTGTGTGTGTGTGTGTGTGTGTGTGGTGTGTGTGGTGTGTGTGTGTGTGTGTGTGTGTGTTGTGTGTGTGTTGTTGTGTATGTGTGCATGTCTGTGTGCACGTGCATGGTGGGGGGTGAGGTCAAAAGACTTTATGCATATATATTTTGATGGAATTGCCTTGAAAATTCATTATACAAAACATTACATCCTCTTGAAACAATTTCAGTCTCTATAACTCCTGTTTTTTTCTTCATTTAACGTATATGACAGAAATAGCAAAATCAACAAGAAGCCTTTTTTCATAAAGAGAAAAAATTTGCATGTTAATTTTTTAATTAATTTAATTTTTAATTTTACAAACAAACAAAACCCACACAGAAACAGACTACAGAACAAACAGGAAAAAGTCAACAGAAATTACTCACTATATAAACTTTTTCAAAGTAAAACAATCTCAGAATGAACTATGATTTCAATCCTTGTCATCACAGGAGTAAAAATCACATAAAGATAGACAATAATGAAAGAGAATAAAGTAAATGATCATCATGAAAGAATGATATAATGTAAGATTTTTCATCCAATGTGTTTCAAGTTGATTGCGATTTTTAAACAGTAGCATATAACATTTAGAATACCCAATAAAATATGTTAAATAAACATCACAAAATCTAACATCAGTGTCCTTTATGGGACCATATATCTTACTTTTCTTCCATCTGATGAATACTCCAAACATTATGAAACTGACAAAGGAAAGAAATAGTCATAATGCAAAACAAGGTAAGTAGATTGGATTGACCAAAATAACAAAACATATTGTTATATACCGAAAAACAGTGAGACTAAAAATGAAAAATAAGAAAAAAAATTTAAACCATATTCATTTGACCTTTTCAGTACTATTACCATTTCCATAACAATTTATCCATCTTTTGCTTGTGCTGTTTTGCTTTTCAGTTTCCTTGAAACTGATTATTCATTCCATTACTTTTCACAAAGCTCTCTTAAGCAGTGACTTCTTTTCGACTCCTTCACTCAGGACTTGCCCTTCTGCCTTTCATCTCTTGCTTTGTTTGCACCCAATATATGTTTCTCATTTCTTTTTCCTCTCCTCCATCCACTTCACTATTACATCATTCATCCACTTCTGCCTAGAGTTCTTTCTCAACGTCTTTGGTTGAGGCTAAGGTGAGGGTGATGCTATCCATGCAGATCCTGCTAACACCTGGTGTAGAATCGTCTTGTCCTGGTCTGCTTTTCTCTCCTTTTGAATTTGGTCGTGTTGATTCCTGACTCCTAGTTTTTTTGTCACTTTTCTTCATTGGTGGTGAGTTGGGCAAATACAGGAAGAAGGCCATTTGAAGAACTTATTTAATGTATGAGGAACATGTAGAACATATGTAAAACATGAAGAGGAGCACTTGAAAAAAATACAGAATGTCTGAATAACAAGCAGATTATATAAAAATTTGGAAGAACATATAGGGAACATGATACAAAAATTTGCAATCAATTGCTAAACTGTATGAGAGCAAATTATATTGCAACTGACCAAAAGAAATTGACTCTCCCTCATTTTGCTTGAATTTTTCTAACTAAGATTTAGCAACAGATACTTTTAAGACATTGCTTAGCTACTTTCAGTTGTGCAAAGTTAGATTTCTTGGTTTTGAGATCATAAAAGCTAAACTAATTTAATCACCCAAATGTACCTTCATGGGAAATGTAAAGAATAAATGGTGGCGTAACTCAGTGGTAGAGCACAGGCTTTGCAACCATACAGTCCTGGGTTAGCACCAGTCACTCCTCTCAGTTGTCGCAGTTGTGAGTGAGAGCTGTTATGCTTACATTAGCATACTGGGGTCCATTTTAGGTTGGAAAGGAACTGGCCACCCTACTGTATCATCTCATGGCTATGCATATTACTCTACATAAGTCCCCTACATCTACTGGGATATGGGACCAACTTTGGCTTTGAAAGAATGCAAGAATATAGAAACCATGTACATTGCATCAAAGGAGTAAACTGAAACATGAAGAGCAAAAGGTATATTTTTTGTAGTAAAACCATGATTATGAAATTTAGGCAAATCATGTAGCTATTGCTCAATTTTTTAAAGGTCTTTATTAGTGTGAAGTGTGGTAGAGCATCTTGTTGTACAAGTAGCACTTCATTTCTATGAAATAACTTAAGCATTAATCAACAACACAAACTTTTTTTAGGGTGCCATTTCATACCCTCCACTCCTAGGATCAAGCCAGTATGGATAGAGCACACTGGAAATTAAGGAGTAAAAATAACGGAGATATATTGAACCAATGAAAAGTTTATTGATTTAAATAACATTTTATGAGTTTGCAGTCTCTAATAAATATATAAAATAAAAATAAACTACATAAACCTTACCTGAAAATTGAGACAACATTCATACCTACTGCCATAATTTCTAGGTTCCTATGGCTTGTCTACAGCACACCATTTGTGTCGCAACTATTACACAGAAAGCATAGTAATAACCTTTTTCATGATTTCTCCCACTATCTGCTGCATGAAAGAGAAGTATAACCATAAGCACTTGTATTAAGCAAGATTGTTATCATATTATCATTTCAAACAATATTTACATTGTGGCAAATTCTTTCCAGTGAGTAACTCTTCTGCAATATCTTAATATAATGCAACTATAATCAGATGGTGTAAAATCTGTAAATATAACTACACATAATATTTACCTTATAAAAATATCAACATCTTTATACTGATGGCAGTTTCTTAGACACCAAATTTCAAAAGTGGGAAATAAGCTTCGGAATCCAGCTGAATATACATGTATTTCTTTATGCAAAACAGAGAATATGTCAAGGAATATTAACAAAGAAAGAATGGAATAGATTGGATTATTATAAAAAGAGTCCTTGATAACACATTCCGACATGTACATGATTTTGTGACCCAAGTTTTGTTACAATATATATTTGCATATATACTGTCATGGGAATACATTTCTGGCAATTCCATTTTGATTACTCTCAGTATTTCCAATTAAATTATAATGTAGTGACAAAAGTAATATTACAAAAATAATAAAAAAGCCAGTATGTGAATGAGAAGACACAGCTTTTGCAACAGACTCACCACTGCAACAATTGATGTTCAAAAATATATTACATAATCAAGGCTGCAAGTATGGGAAGAATGTAAAATTTATATGGAAAAATATATTCTCATACATATAATAAATAAACTAGTCAAAGTAATAACAATGACACAAGTAATAGTAACAGTAATAGCAATAGTCACAGTAGTAGTAATGATACTAATATTAAGACCAATACAATTACTACTACTAATAAAAATCATTATCATCATTATCTTATTAATATTAATAATAATAATAATAATAACAATAATAATAATAATAATCATAATAAAATAAATTCAAAAGAAAAAACAAACTAAAACAGGTATCAATAGCTGCCGTCATTTTCCCACTATACTCAGGTCAAAGTTGGTCCAATGGAAGGAGTATCTTGCCTAGCAGTTTTAATCAACTACATTAACAACACTGTACATAATACCTACAAAAGTTTGTTGGTATAATGCAATGAATATGGCAGTGAGTATTAACAGGTGCAACCCCTTTTCGTTGCATTAATTATCAGTTAGCTGTCAAAAAGAGATTCCCATCCTCCGAGAAAACCTGATACCTGGTTGATATTTTTGGATGGATGTCAGTGAGTATTATAAAAAGTGCATTATATACTTAACCATTAAAAAAATTGTTAAAAATTTACAAAAAATTATTTTAAAAATTATATCCCAAGGATGTATCTGGAATGTAAGTTGGAATGTTGAGATAGTTGGAATGTTTGGTTAGCAACTCTCTTTAACATTGTTTGCATTTTAATAACAGATCTTATGGCATCTATGTGTTTAATATATACTGTTTCTGTGGCATAGAAAAGTGCATGGAATGCTCCAAAATTTAACAATCTTAAGTAAATAATTTTCAGCCTCAAGATGTTCATTACATGTTTCAATCATTGTTCATGTACTATAAAATATTCTACTGAATATTGTTTACCAAAACATAAAAACATATATTAATTAATTTCAGTACCAAAGCATACAGAATCACATAACACATAAAATATTTAAAAATGACTATACCATAGAATAAAGGAAAGAAAGAAAGAAAGAAAGAAAAAAGTTTTCTATGAAAATGTAACAAGTGATTCTGTTCAATGAAATAAAAGAATAACAATATACATCTAATAGACCATTGAATTAGTAAGACAAATGAAAATGAGAAATAAAATATACAAGAAAAAGCTTATCATATATAATATATAATATACGTGTCTTGGGAGCTTTGTGACTGACAATAAATTATTTGTGACTTCTGAAGAACTCCATTGAAAAAATTATAGATCCAATGATACAAGCAATAAGTAAAAGATGTAAGCACTGTTGGTTGTTAAAGCAATTGTAGACAAATTATTTTTTTTTAAATTGTCATTATTATCATCTGTTTAACAATGCTGCATTGTTATACAGGTTTAAACTGATTCAGAATTTGATAAAAGTATACAGTTTCAGAAGTCTCTGAACAGCCAAAGTATTATTCTGTTTTTCCCAGATGCATATGCAATTAGAGAGCATTTCCCTGAGACCCCCAAAACAGAGAGAAGCAAATGTACTCTATGTGTTCCATACCATTCAGGTTATTGGCACATGGTAATTTGGTGACCTGAAGATATAAGTAGTTAACATATGCTTCAGTGCAATCCATAATGTATCTAACTACATTGGAGCAGAAACAATTTGTGTATTATTTATATGATTTAGGTGTAGTCTGGCTATTAGTGACCTCAAACTTGCTTTGATTAAGTCCATCTTTTGACAAAGAGTGCAGTAATGGTGTTCGTTCATGTGACAACCTCATAGAAACAGAATGCTGTGGAGAAGATTCTTCTACAGACTCCTCTTGCTCAGGAACCTGCAATAATGAGAATGGTTAAGTTCTAAAATATCCAAGCTGTTTGGCTTCACAGTTCCAAATAATAAGTCTATAACAAAATACTGACTAAAAGTCACTGTATCACATCCTTTAAACCTACCATTGAAACAAATCCCTATAGTGGCCTCTATGTTTTACATTATTTCACTCTTTATCTAGCATTGTAGGAGTAACAAACCTTATTTTCACACCCATCCACACCCACATTTTGCAATGCATAACTATTCAAATGACTACCTAGCACAGCCAAATCGTCTTTATACATAGCACCAAAATATGCCTTTGTACACAGAATCAACTAATACCTTTAATAAACTCTCATACTAAAACAGCCATACAATGCCATACCTGATCATTATAAAGATCATTAACATTGGCATTTGGCACCTCCAGCTGCTGTGATGAATGCTTTGGCCAAAATCTTGCTGGGAACCAACTGGGCTTCGAAATAGCACTACCTGACTCCCAGCTGCGATAAACCATGGAGTTAAACACAGCCTGAAGTGGATTCAGGATTGCCTGTAAAGAAAGAGAAATTATGATGAATTCTTATATATGTATTCTCAAAAGAAGATGAAGAACAAGAAAGTGAAAATACAGTGATGGGGAGGCAGAAAGTATGTCTGTGCAAAAGATCATCTGAATATAAATATTTTCCTAAGCAAAATAGAAGCAAAGAATGTGCACAGACCACTGTCCAACTAGAATCTGTAGAAAAGCTGTGACTTCAAAAAGAGTTGCTACCAAAAGGGCAGGCAGGTACATTTTGGATATGTCAAGGTAAACTAAGATGCTCAATTGTCAGAATATGTTGAAGGTACAGCAGTTCCACAGGTTGTGAAATAAATGCATTCTATTAGTTAAATTAAATACAGAAACATTTCATAAACATTAGATCTAGATGATTAAAATATAAATCTGGAGAGAAATATTGCTTTTGCTGTTGACTTTCATCCATGCTGAGTTTACTACTCAATCATAATAATGCACACATATCTTTAAGAAGTCTACCATCTATGTGCAATTTCTAAGGAACACAGTCTGGATGGGACTTAAAGGATGCAAATCTTGCTGTAAAGTTTTATCAAATAATGTTTCAAAGTATATGTAAATTTTCACAACTTAGGAAGCCCCATTTGAGTCTTATTTCGCTCAAACCATCAAAGAAATAAACAGATGTTGCAGAGGAATTATGTTAATAGTTCTTTAATCTTTACACATTTTCATGTTATGATCATATCTCATTTTTATATCTTGTTTTTATTGGTAACCATATGTATTTTAATTAATGTAAATAAACATTACCTTTATAATAGGGTATGAACAAGCATTAAATTAAAGGGACTGTGAGAGTTCACTAAAATTACCCTATTCATCATAAAACTTGTATGAATAGAGTAAGTAGGGAGATGGTTGCTCTTGCTTAATCAGTAATAACCTCACAGATCCATGTCAGTGTAAATAATGAACCAAAGCTTTATCATGTTATTAAAATGGTGGAATTTAAGCATGTTTTGCTACCCATTCCATTATGAATCTATTGATTTCAGCTGATACAGATACATTCTTGGAAATTAGAAGAAAGTATACAGAATAGACAGTAAGAGAAAATAAATATTGCCAGACTGATATGTGTACAATTACATGAACATATAAAATATCAAAATAACTCTTATAGGAGTATTTACAAGGAGAAAAAGAAGAGGGATGGAATAAAAAATGAGAACAGCTTACCATTAGATACCACACTGTTATAATAAATGTTTTTGGCAGGTTGTTCCACGATGTCCACAAGACGATGCCATTGATAATATTTGGCAACCAGCAGAGATAAAACACTCCATTAATTAGGAAGAACTTCTTGCGCAGACCATCAACAACCCGCCGTTCTGAGTGGGTGAATCTGACGGGAGAAAGTGTTTGTTTCATGTGATATCATATTGCTGCTGACCTTTTTTATACTTATAACTATTATATTATAATAAAATCTATCCAAAAGAAGTAGCCAAATAAAAACTGTTTTTCCAGATTAAAGTGTTTTGCTATCTGAAGTAAATTTGACTTCCTTAATGGACTTTTGAAGAAAAAGAAAAGAGAAAATCTTGATGTTTCATTCAAAATGTAGAGACAGGGAAATAAACATAAATAAGAGTGGGAAAAATAAAAATAAACAAAATAAGACTTACCTCCCTCTGGCCGACATAATTTGCTTTTCAACCCTTGAGAATGCTATGCAATAAAGAATTGGGTTTCCAATCATAACAACGACAATGGGCATAAAGGTGCTTAAATAATTTGGCAGAAATCTCACGTATGGGTTCACGGCTTGACTATGGCAACTGAAAGAGAGAAAACATATTAAGACAATTGTGTATGAGTAAAAAACTGTGATATTTTTTATCAACATGATTTTTTCATCATAATAACCATTTGTTGCCTAAGTAAATCATTTCAAAATTGTTTCAGACCTTATACATTCTATGGATGCCTATATTATTCATAAAAAAAGGACACACCATAATATGCTTATTACAACATCAAACCAACATCATTCCATCATTCGTGAATATTTTGTAGCTTTACAGTACCTTAGCTACCTATAACTAGAGATAACTTAATTTTAAAAATACACATGCATCCATACATATTCACTCACTCACAGACTCACTCACTCACTCACTCACACTCACTCACTCACTCACTCACTCACACTCACTCACTCACTCACTCACTCACTCACTCACTCACTCTCTCTCTCTCTCTTCTCTCACACACACACACACACACACACACACACACACACACACACACACACACACACACACACACACACACACACACACACACACACACACACAACGCACACACACACACACACACAAAACTGGACAAAGACCTACTTTAGGTCAGGAAGATAGAGGATGAGTAATCCCACTAGGCAGAGCATTAGCGGAACACTCCAAGCCACAGTATGGTACACGCGGTGGCTCATGCGTCTCTCGTGCATTACCAGCTTCACATCCAGGGCATATAAGAAGGTCCAGCAGTAAGTCGCAGTGTAGAAATAGTGGATAATAACCTGTTCAGGGAGATACCCTACTTAGTTTACTATATACTGTAAGGTAGCTTGCTTGCTTTTTTTTTTTTTCTTTTTTCTTTCTTTCTTTCTTTTCTTCTTGCAATGGAAGGTGGTGCAGGAAGAACAGAATATATGATATGCAGTCCTGAAAAACTCCTGGTTTGGTTAGGATGAGCTGTATTTTACTTTTCACTATAAGTCTTCTGTATATAAACTGGAGTAGATACAATTACGATCTACTTGAGTTACCATTATGGAAAGTATTTGTTTCATTGGATTAAGTTATGCTAAATCTGGAAAGGTCTGATGCTTTTAGGTTATTATCTTATTGTTGGTTACCATAAATTTCTCAAATAGTATATAAAAGAATTGATTTAATTCAGATTTGGACACTATTCATGAAGCATGTGAAATCTGCATATCACAAAGATGTTTTTCTCATTACATGTACAGATACACGTAAATGTAAAATACTTAAGACAGAAATAAAAGATTAAACTCATAATCATCATAATCAAATAATCCATGCCATGAAAAGTACATAGAATACAGACTCCATGAAATAACTAAAACTTGTATATATGGTTGACAAAATTTGTATACTTAACAGAAACAAATCAGAGATATCTATAATCAATCAACAATCACACCAAACAGTAAATGTATTGAATCAAGTAATTCTAACAAAGAAAATAAAAAAGAAAAGAATAAGCAAAGAGTACAAATGATTCATGTATGTACTACACGAATGGCAAATACAAGTAAGTGTCTAGCTTTCAATTCCTGTTCCTAAACAAGCCCTTTGAAGTTTAACTGGTGAAACCTGGTACTTGAAAACCAACAATCAATGACCCAAAAATCAACCTTGTTAATATGCTTAAAAAAAAGAAAGAAAGAAACAAGAAACAGCAAAATAAGATAAGAATGAAAAGCAAGGAAGAAAGAAAACTCTTATCTTTATCCCTTGCATTTCCTGAAATTTTTGTAGTGATTATTTACAGTACTTAGAGTGCTTGCTTTGTGGGATCAGGACAATTGGATTGGGCTGTTCAGTATGGCTTCTACACGTATGCACGCAGAGTATACACGTATCATTGGACCTAAAGGGAAGCAGAAAGATAAAGAAGAAGGAGATGGAGAAGGAGAAGCAGAAAGATAAAGAAGAAGGAGAAGGTGAAGAAGAAGAAGAAGGACAAAGAAGGAGATGGAGAAGAAGGAGAAGCAGAAAGATAAAGAAGATGGAGAAAAAGAAGGAGAGAAGGAAGAGAAAAGAAGAAAAAGAATAGTAATCAAAAGATGGAAAAGAGAATTGGAGAAGAAAACCTTCATGAAATGTGTTAACCTGGGAAAAGCTCTTACCGAAGTTACGATGCACATAGACTGCCCTACTGTGCTGTCATCTGCCTTTGATCCAAAAGTGTCATCGGAAAGCCAGGAAGCCGATCTTATGAGAATCCCTATAAAAACATCAAAATAAAAAAAAAGAAAGAAAGAAAAATCAATAGAAAATTCTTTAAAAAAGGGGAAAATCCAAAGAGGGATTTAAAAGATATACAAAAGAAAAGGAAACACAAAGAGAAGACGAGAAACATGAAAAAAGTAATCTAAATCAAGGTACGTCCACTGGATATTACAAAATCAATAAAATCAACAAAAAATAGTAAGGAAAAGAATATCATCAAAAAAATAAGACCAAGACATGAATAAGTCAATCCAAAAATGAATGAACATTTTCCTCTTCAGACAAGAAATAACTAAAAATACAATAAAAACATGAAAAAAAATCAATAAAACACCCTTCTTCATTTCGGAAACACACTAAATACAAACATCCCCTTTTCCCTAACCGAATGAAGCCAGAAGGTCGGCAAAGGCTAGCCATCTTATGATGAGGCGGCCCCTCGTCTTGAAGAACCTTCCCCCTCGGCCATTGGTTCCATTACTAGGTGTTCGTGGAAGGACCTGCAAAGGAAAACATAAAAATCAAGTGTGGGGGAAAAAATACAAAAAGAAGTAGAGAAAGAAGGATAAAAGTTTGCAACCACAACTATTTGTATAACGGAAGTTTGTTTTTTGGAAAAACTGTAAGAATAATTAGCTAACATTAATGATAAATTGCTTATTGATTATCTTGGGTACATCATCAGATCAAAAGTATGTTATGAACTTACAAACTGTAATTAGTTTCATGAAAAAAAAAACTCTTTTAAAGATATATTGCAATCCATCAGGTACTTTAATATTTTGGCCTATGACAGAACAATAAATAATAAGATATTTTTAATACAAGATTATAAACCAGGTATGAAAACCACATGAAACAGAGTAACATGCATGAACAGACTTTGGAAATCTGATCTTTTACCTGGTATATGGCACCAGCCATGCCAAAAATGGATGCCACAATGGATATGGCATTGTATGGCACGCTCTGGAAGTCTATGAGGAAGTCTTTGCTGAAGGCGTTGGTGCTCGATAAACAACATAATGATTCGATGGTGGGACTCGCCATGGTGGAAAAATTTCAGCTGGATATTTTTGGATTATGTCATTGTTTTTCTGCAAGAAATGGATAGAGAATAATCACTGACTATGCCAAATGCTAATATATTAGTTAAACACTTTCAAAATCTATGTCTTGACAACAGGAAATCCATTCTATAATGTGAGAAATTCAGAAAATATAATAATAATAAAAAAAAAAACAACAGGATACCTACAACACATCCCAACTTTTTTCAATTAAACATTTCAGGAATGCAACACTTCCCATTCTGCCTAATTGTAATATTCAGAGGTGAACACAAGTATTTAACTATATTTAAAAAGCTAAATGTAATAGTCACTTGGAACAAAAATCTGAAGACACAATTGAGAGTCTAAACGGCACGCACACCAAAACATTTCCCGGAGGCTATGTCCCTTGCCCAACTCATCCTCTTCATTCACCCCTTTTATCCCATGAGTATCCATTCTTGATAATAATAAACTTAGAAGAAGAAGAAGAAGAAAGAAACACTAAAGATGGAGAAGGCGAAGAATTATAGCAATAACAATATTATTAATAATAATAAAAAAAACACAAAACAATAATAAAGTGAAAAACTATAGTATTAATAATAATAATAATTATAACAACAATAATAATAATAAAAGAATAATAACAACAATAATAACAATAAAAGAATAATAACAACAATAATAATAACAAGAAAAGGATATGATATATAAAAAGAAGAAAGTGGAAAGTTTCCTCTCACCACATGTTCACTTCTACTTTTCTTGGCTTCTCTTCTCCTAATAGAAAGAGTAGTTTCTTGCTTTTACAAGCAGCAAGCACATAAATGGATATAACTAATAATTACAGTAAAACCACAATATCACATGTTATGAGACATGGCTTTTAACAAAAAATTGAGAACATCATTAATGCAGCACTGCAGTTTCTTTCTATGGTTCACACTTTTTCTTTAGCTACACAAAAACAAGAAAAATAAATAAAATAAAAAATAAAAATCTAAGAACACAAATAAAAATAGAAAATCGGAAAAGTCAAACTCCTTTGCGTAAGTGTATCAAAGACAAAGACAACCCAACGGGACGCGCAACTTCCAAAACAACTATAACCCGCAGAAGATCCCACAGGGGAGAGCACCTGATAGCCCACTGGAGAGAGTCCCCCGATCCGATACACCGAGGATGCCATGAGACAGATGGCTAACCTCACATGACCATGGGTGAGCATGAGGTGCAAGTCATTCGACTGTTGGTAATCCCTATTCCCACACTTGCGTCACACACACAAACAGTCTAAGCCATTATTTGAATATATGTTACTCATCACAAAGAGGTAGCACATCAAACCTATTGTTCTTGAGAGACGTGGGACCTATACACACATATATGGAAAAGAAGAAACTAAATAAATGTCACACTATGTATTCTTAAAAGATATCAAGGCTTTCTCTCTTAATAATCAGAGCTTACCTGTCTGCTTACTCTATTTATTTTATACATCTTAAATTAGATTAAATCTTCCAAGATCAGGACAGCTTCAATTCTCTACTACATAAGGGAATAGCTTTCTGTTATAAAAGATCCTAGCTATGGGTGTCTTCTGTAGCGTCCTTAACTCTTAATACTGTATTTAGTTTAATCCTAATCCACCGTGTCCGTACCGAAGACGACACTCTCTGCTGCCAGACAGCG